CTTTTTTTCTTTCACGGATGGGTGTAGACTTTGACGATGCCACCATTCTCACGGCGTACTGCGCCGGTGGCTACTGCGACTCGGCCACGGGCACAACTGACACGGACCCGATGCAGGGCTTGTACGTGTGTCTGCCCGAGTCAGCGGTGCCGCGACGTGACAACAGTGTTGGCGATGATGACGGCCCGTACACAGGCCCTGTCAAGATTGAGCTGCTCTGTGCGTGCAGCGGAACCCCATTTGCCGGCGGGGACAATGTGTGTTTGAACCCTGCCGGAGACCACATTGGGAGATGTAGCACGCCGTGTGCCAACAATGCGACGACTGGAGACTGAAGGGAGTGTGTATGGGCATGCCCTAAGAGCTGTGTTCCAGAGGAAGAGGAAGATGGATGACAATGGTGGCGGATTGAAACCAACCGTAAAGAAGGAATCTGGAGGCTCTTTGACGTGGAGTCGATTCGCCCACGCACAACAGCTACCGCATTTTAGTGATTGCTCGTTGCTCGGCATCGTACTCGGTGTATACTTCAATTGACTGATTTGTTTTATGATTATTTCAATTACGACTTTTCGTGGGCTTCGTTGGCCATCAACGGACACAATGCGTCACAAGTTGAGCTGCAGGGTCAACATAGCGGCGAGGCCGGTCACTCTCTAACTTTGCAAGCCTGTGACTCTGTTTCCCTTCCGGCATCGGATCGACAGGTGAGCGCGATTCGGAGACGTTCCCCGTGGGGGCCAGGGCCGTGTGTTTCTCGGCGACGTCATTGCACACACAGTCCAGCGATAGAGTAATCGCATCCGGCCTTTTTGGTTCCTAATCTGTTTATTTTTGCTTCGCCAATGCGCCCTGCGAGCGTGCGTTACGGGGTCCTCAGTCCAATTCCTTTGTGTTTTATTGGTTCGCGTCCACTACAGCCACTGTGAAGTCATCCTAGAACACCTTGAGGAGCTCCCAAATCATTCACCATACATAGTAATCAGGCGCATTTTGCTGCTTCCTCCTTCTTCTTCCCTGTGGAGACCTGCTATTCCTTTTTTTGCCTTCCAGCCGTCTATCGTGGCAATTCTCAAGAAAATGGGGATCAGCACTGTGTGATGAGGACGGCTGTCTCTTTTTTTTTTGGAGCGGCGAAAAAGCAAGGAAGCGTAGGCTGGGAAGCACTGCCGGGAGGGCAAGCAGAACGGCTAGGCCAGCCAGCGCTGCTGTCAGTGTGTCAGTGAGCAAGAGCCCTTGAGTTGGCTGCTGGTGAGCTTGATAAGCTCGAGGTGGTTTGTGCGGTTTGGGCCTTGACAAGAACTGCTCATGGCATCATGGGCCCCGTCATAAGTGCACAGTGTGTGAAAGTAACCGTTCGTTGGAGCGGAACCAATACCCTTACTGTGGCACTGTAGAGCAAAGCAAGCAAAGTCAAGTCGCATCAAGCAATCCACCCATCAATCAATTAGTCCATTAAGCAATGAGCTGACCAATTGGACGGTAGGTGGGGTCATCGAGAGGCTGTGACTGTGAGAAAGTGACTCTTTGCTCTTTCCCACACTCCGAAACCAAGGCCAGACCATGCTGCTGCAAATCCAACCCAATTGCCCCTCGTCCGAAATTTCACCCGTCCGGCCAAAGGCACTACGGTGAGTACTAAAAAGGTTGCTCACGCCCCTCCAAGCGCAGCTTCACACCCAAACCCAAAAACCTTTTTTTCCTTTCCCAAGCCCAATCACAAAATTTGATCTCTGACAAACCGCAACCCACGGCCAGCCGACTAGCTTAGAGACACGCTTTTACGAACAACGTCCAAAACATTACACCAAGACATTCAACACAAGCAGTCACCATGTGCGAGACTGACGCCCCTACCAACGGCACAAACGGTGCCTCCACCAATGTGGTATGTCTCTTGCCTCAACACCTCTCTGGCTCTGCCGTTCCCCGCTGACGTCGTCGTGTGTGTTTCTTTTTTTTTAATTAGGCCGAGAATGGAGGACACTCGCGCTCCAACCCCTACCAGACTGTCCAGGACTACCTTTCCAATGTTGGCAAATTCAAGATCATCGAGTCGACGTTAAGAGGTTAGCAATTGGTATCCCAGTGTTTGTGTGGTTGTGCCAGTCAAGATCCTAACAAGCTATTCAGAGGGAGAGCAGTTTGCCAATGCCTACTTTACGACCGAGAAGAAGATTGAGATGTACGTTCCCACAGCCTCTCAGACATCCGCATGAGACTGTACCCAGCATTCATAGTCCCGGCGAGCTGACAAATGATTGCCTGCAAACAGTGCCAAGGCCCTCGACAAGTTTGGTGTCGACTACATCGAGCTCACCTCGCCCGCCGCCTCTCAACAATCCTACGATGACTGCAAGAAGATCTGCAGCCTGGGTCTCAAGGCCAAGATTCTGACGCACGTCCGCTGCGACATGCGCGATGCCACTCTTGCTGTTGAGACTGGTGTTGACGGTCTCGACATTGTCATTGGCACCTCCAAGTACCTGCGCGAGCACAGCCACGGCAAGGACATGGACTACATTGTCAAGACTGCCGTCGAGGTCATCAACTTTGTCAAGTCCAAGGGCCTCGAGGTCCGCTTCTCCAGCGAAGACTCGTTCCGCTCCGACCTCGTCGACCTCTTGACTCTGTACAGCGCTGTCGCCAAGGTCGGTGTCAACCGTGTCGGTATCGCCGATACTGTCGGTTGCGCTTCCCCAAGACAGGTCTACGACCTGATCAGAACCCTGAGAGGTGTTGTTTCTTGCGACATTGAGACGCACTTCCACAACGACACTGGCTGTGCCATCGCCAACGCCTTCTGTGCCCTCGAGGCCGGTGCCACCCACGTCGACACCAGTGTGCTCGGAAGTAAGTTCTGCTCCTTGGCGTCGTGTTTCGTGCCGCAGCTAACAAATGGTCAATAGTTGGTGAGCGCAATGGTATCACTCCCTTGGGTGGCTTCCTGGCCCGCATGCTGGTCACGAGCCCCGACTACGTCAAGAGCAAGTACAAGCTGCACCAGATCAAGGAGATTGAGGACCTGGTCGCTGAGGCCGTCGAGGTCAACACGCCATTCAACAACCCCGTCACCGGTTTCTGTGCCTTTACCCACAAGGCCGGCATCCACGCCAAGGCCATCCTCAACAACCCTTCCACCTACGAGATTCTCAACCCCGCCGACTTTGGCCTGACCCGGTACGTGCACTTTGCTTCGAGATTGACTGGCTGGAATGCCGTCAAGACGCGTGTGCAACAGCTGGGCTTGACCATGACGGACGAGCAGTGCAAGGAGGTCACAGCCAAGATCAAGGCCATGGCCGACATTCGGCAAATCGCCATCGACGACGCCGACTCCATTATCCGGTCCTACCACTTGACTCTCCAACATCCCGAATCGATGGCCAGCGAGCTCGCTGCTAGCGGCACGACGATTTCGGCACCACTTCCACAAAATGGAGCATAGGTTTTCAATCGTTGCGGTGATTGGTAGCGCTACAGACGTACGCGGACTGTAAATTTGTGAACGAAAAAGTGATTTTCTATTTATCGGCGTAATCGGTCGGGTTCATAGGGACAATGAAATACTAGCATTCGGATTTACCATTCATTGTGCATACGTACCTAGAGTGATTTTGGTTATGATCCGTTAGAACTAAAAGAGTAATTTGATGCTCTTGGAATTGACGTAATAAATGATCCGACAAAAGGCCGCTTTCGGTAGGACGATTGGCGATGTAGGTTGTTGGCTAGCAGCACACGAAACTACTATTATTCGGTACGCAGACGAGCGCCATGCTCGGCTCCATGTGGAAATTGACACTTCTTAATCGCTTCGGGGCCCTCTCGAGGCCCCTCACAGGTAACGGTCGGCATGTGTGATCTTCATACATCTGTGGCGCAAGTCGAGATAGTCTTGGTGGGTGTCGATCGTAACATAGGTCGTGAATCTTGGCGCCATTGAATCAAGAAAGATTTTCACAAAGGGACAAAATAAAGAGAACCCCAAAAAGAAACAGAAGGCCGGGCATCAAAGGGCAAAGATAACAAGGAGAGAATAGAAAAGGAAAATCACGCCAGGTTGCGATATATGTGCATACATGTATGAATACTAAGCCCGTTGATATCCGTGCTCCCGGCTTCCGCAATGCCGCGCTTCCGCAGGTGGACATGGTGAGGACATGGTGAGGACTTTGGAGTACGATAGCAGGGCATAGGACATACGATATTATTCGATCAACCATGAAATTGACAGATTGTGCAATCCACATAAAGAATCAATGACGAGGACAGACAGATGGATGTTCCTGAAAGATGCGTTGGGAAGTGTACTTACTAGGGAAGGGCAGGTTGCTCAGTAGCACTTTCACGGAATGATGTCTCGGAAACTTCAAGTATAACAGCGCTTTTCAGTAGCTGCAAGAGCAGCGAGCTATTCCAGTTGATAAACAAGCATCTCAGATTATCTGTATAGCTACTACTTCTAAAACATGCTTGTCTTTGGTTCCTTCCTTTCTTGTGACAATCGATAGGTAGTCAGTGTTGTTGATATCCAAGCAAAACAGAATCGAATGTAAATCTTTGATTGCAGGAGAATTCAACTCTGTTTGAATGTGGAATCGATATACTGCGCAACTAGTTCAGAGCCAAAGTTATGTTTGGACGCAACTTTGATTCACAAGACATTTGACAAATGTTCACGAGGATCAGCCGATATAAATGTTTTATGAATTTGTCACTGATGATATATGCTGCTAGGAGAACAAAACGTGGCTAAAGATTATGCAGATATTTAGGGTATCTCTTGAGAAGAAATTAACGACTTGGTTTTCAATAATTACTACTAATTCGCTCCGCATAATTAGATGTCTAAATGGTACAAAAAGAAGCAGATCCCGTTGTGTTATTTGGACCGTTGGGAATGGAAGAGTTTACAATTTGATAGGCTAGTGTTTATGTGATAGCTAAAATTTTGGAAATATATAGTATTTACTTCTTGTATTATCAACAATTGGAATGTCTACATAGTATAGCGGTTAGTATACCTCGTTGTGGTTGCCTAAATAACTATCCGAGGAGATCCATGTTCGATTCATGGTGTAGACACAACTTTTTCTTCTTTTCGAAGACTCCTTCAATGTCAGGATCTGAAGAGTATTTTTGCTACGTATATAAGTGGTCCCGCTAGGTGATCTGACGGACTCTCGTTGTTGCCCAAGCTTTTATGGGTCCAGCAAACGTAATGGTAGCGGGTTTGCTCTACAAAATGGCGAGATTCCATCTCGTCATCTAGCGGGAGCGCTTATATACTGTGTGTGCCGAACATACTCTTCACACCGTCCAAGACTCTCGCTACAGTAGAAGCAGTCAGCACTTGCATCACTGTCCTATCTCTCTGCTAAATTGTGTGACAATGCTGAAAAGAGACGGAGGCTTTCAAGCTCGTCCATCGAAAAAATCCGTGAGATGGCAGGGTGCCCAGGTACGAGGGACCCAAACTTCTCCCAGCATTGAATCTTGAAGTACCTAGGTACCGTGCCCCGCGCAGCTTCCCCCCACCTTCGCTGTGCGCGAGCTCTTTCTGTGCGCGAGCCTGCTGGCTGATAATTTGGGTCCGGACTCTGATGGTATTCAACCCGACAGCCACCCGATACTCTTTGGAAACACTTGATTGACCTCTGACCATTGTCTCTCCTTCATCTACCAGAGTTCTCCTCATCGGAACTACAGATCCCACTTTTATTAGTTCCGACCACCATCATGGCTGCTATTGTCGACGCCGGCACGCCGCCTCCATCATCCGCGAGCACCACTGTCCGCGTGGGCACGCGCCGCTCGGCACTGGCCCTCAAACAATGCGAGATCATCATTGGCGCTCTCAAGCAAACCCACCCACACATCAACTTCGAGACAGTCACAGTCTCTGTCATGGGCGACCGCGACAAGACCACCCCGCTACCCAACCTCGGCAAGGGCCTGTGGACGTCTGAGCTCGAAGCCATGCTGACGGCCGACCCGCCGCAGCTCGACATGATTGTCCACAGCCTCAAGGACATGCCGACGACCTTGCCCTCGGGCTGCACGCTGGGATGCGTGACCAAGCGCGAGGACCCACGCGACGTGGTCGTTTTTCGCGCCAGCCACGGCGGCAAATACAAGACACTCGCCGATTTACCCAAGGGCGCCGTCATTGGCACCAGCAGCGTGCGCCGCGCCGCACAGCTACGGATGCGGTACCCCGGGCTAGCATTTCAGGATATTCGGGGCAACATTGACACGCGGATGAAGAAGTGCGACGACGAGAGCCTCGGGTTCGATGCGACCATTCTCGCGGCGGCGGGCCTGCTGCGCATGAACATGGGTCACCGGATAGGGCAATACCTTGACGGTGGAAGCGAAGGCGGTGGCATGTTGCATGCTGTCGGACAGGGTGCGCTGGGAATTGAGGTGCGGGCGGATGATGCGGCCACGTTGAGCCTGCTCAAGCCGGTATCGGACACAGAGACGATGCTGGCCTGTGAAGCGGAGCGTAGTATCATGCGAACCCTCGAGGGCGGCTGCAGCGTGCCGATTGGTGTTGAGACGCACTTCCTTCCTGGTGAGGGTGGTGTTAGTACGAATCTTCAGCTGCGGGCCGTGGTTGTCAGCGTGGACGGACAGACCAGCGCTGAGGTTGAGCTGACTGAGGAAGTGCATGATCCAGAGGGGGCGGATGCGTTGGGCAAGAAGGCCGCTTCCATCTTGGTGGAAAAGGGCGCGAGCAGAATCCTCAATGTCATCAACAAAGCGAGACATGAGACGCCAGGAACGGCGTCGGCTGCGGGTGCATCAGCTGGACTTGACGCCTAGGAACGGGTATTTGTACGCAGGTGGTTTTTGTCGTCGCGCGTTTTGCTGTTTCCCGTTGAGCCTTGATACTGCAATTGTGTATGCTATCTGTATTGTGCTGGTAAAAAGATATCCCTATAGATGGCCAACCTCTGCCCGTCTGTCTTCTGCTGGTTTTGCACGCTTTTCACGCGACAGTCACACTCCAAGCAAGATCAACAAAGAGAGGACCAGGAATAAGGCGAGGAATCGAATAAATATAAAAAATATAGCAGGAGTCTTGACTCATGCGACTACTCTGCTCCAGACTTTCTCGAGAACGCCAGTGGTATGTTTCCGTATCCCACCCATTTCCAGGTTGAACTGTCGCGTTGCGTGTGTGTGTATGTGTATATGAATCTGGCATCATGGTAGCCCATATGCCCGTCATGAAGTTGCCCTTGGTCTCATTCATTCTTCCTCTCGTCCACTCTTTCCCATGCAGAATACCCAAGTATTGCCTGCTTTCGCGCCATACCATCTAAGCTAGATTTAATGGCTGCCCTCATCGGCCGTGAAAGCCTTGTACTCCTCAACATCCATCAAGCCCTCGAGATCCTTGACGCCTTCCTCGTCAACAGCGACCTTGGCAATCCAGCCGCCGCCGTTGCTGTCGTCCTCGGGCACCTTGTTGATGGTACCGGGCTTCTCCTCGAGCTCGAGGTTGATGTGGGTGATTTTGCAGCTGATCGGGGCGTTGATGTCGGCGGCGGACTTGACGCTCTCGACGGCGCCAATAGCGTCGCCCGCGGCAACCTCCTTGCCTTCCTCGGGCAGCTCAACGTAGACGACGTCGCCGAGGGCTTCGGCGGCGTATTCGGAGATGCCAATCACACCCGTCTTGTTGTCGGCCGACAGGTCAATCCACTCGTGGTCTTTGGTGTATTTGCGGATGGGGTCTGCGTGGAAGCGAGCGAGCAAGAGATTGTTAGAGATGCGTCAAAATGTGAGTGTTATGGGTTTGGGAGCGCTGGTTGATGTGCTTGTATGGTGTGTCATCATCATGGCAAGAGGGTGTCGCTGGCGAGTGAGCTGGTCATCGTCTCTTTTGACGACAGTCCCAGGCCCTCAATTGCGCCCCCTCTCGTTCTTTCTGAGATGTGTGTATGTGTGTGTGTGTGTGTGTGTGTGTGTGTGTTTTACAGAGCACTCCAGGAACAGTGAAATAGTGGTCTGATCTTACTGCTGGCAGTTACGGAAAAGAGCCTGGCAGCGACGAAGCGCGACGAGAGCGGACGGGCGGCGCGCATCAAGGACGAGGAAAGGGACGACGGTCTTGCAACCCGCATGGAGCGTGCGATGGAGGCCATGGCTGCTGGTTCGAGGTTGGTTATTCGCTGGCGCGTGTGCGGCGTTGGAAGTGGAAAAGAAAGGAACAGGCGAAGAAGGAGGTGCGGGCTGGTTCCAACAAGGTCAGAAGGGGAGGATGGAGGCAGAGGAGGAGGACAGGGAAAAAGGCAAGAAAAAGGGCCAAGAAGCTGGCCAGATTAACACAAAGTGATGCTCGTCGAGCCCCAAAACCGACGATTCATGTTGCTTGCCGGAGGCCGATTGGGACTCCTCGGCGGGCTTTGCGCTAGTGGTGTTTCTGTTAAGTAAGCATGGTTTGCAAGTCAGTCGTCGCTTTGTACCTTGTATCTTTTTGGTTCTGGTCCTAACCCTGATCTGCCAACAGGGACTTGGAAGCGGGCGGGCTGCCTTTTCTGGGTGGACAATGGGGGCATTCCCAGAATTGATTCCTGAGCCCGCGCATGAGGTTACATGGTATTTCTACCTTTGCAAAGCGCTTAGCTGACACCTTGCATCTTTTGTTGCTGCATCATCGCGTCCAATACTTTGTCATCCTTTCAGCATGGGCACTTCACTCAGCTTGGTCTCGAAGATGTCTCCTCTACACGAATCAGCACTTACATGATATGATGCGAATCATGGCCCGGCCGCTTATCATATCACTGGCCGGTTCGGAGAAAGATACGGAGCCTTGCTAGAGGCCAAGAGCCGTCTGGGTCTTGTCAGGCCTGTCGGCGCCGATCCGGCCCTCCATGAGAGTGATTACTCAGCATCGTGGGAATGCTTCTCAAGCTTGATTGGATCTTGGTCCAGACGAACTATTGTCACTGCCTCGTGGGCAAAGCGAACGGGGCCTGGAATGCGAGACGGGCAAGAAAGCCCGAGGTGGCCAGGTGAGCACCGGCGTGTTACTGTTTGGAAAGAGCTGGAAGGAGGAAACAGGAATGGAAAACGCAAATGCAAGGGAAGCAACGCGGGAGAAATGGAGCAGATGGGGCTGCAAGCTTCTAGTTCTAGAAGCCACAGGCGGGCGAGCCCACTTGGCAGGCAGGCAGGCAGGCAGGCAGTGGCAATCCATCTGCCAGACTCTTTACATAGTAGTCACGAGCGGGCCACCTTCACCTTTTGATCATGTCGGACGGCAGGTGCAACTTGCTTGAAATGCTGCAGGCCAGTCTTCAAAGTGCCAGGGTGACCGTGTTTCAGGGGGGGGCTGACAGCAGTCACTGTCATCGAACCTTGGAAGGATCCAACGGAGAAGCTATGGACCTCCAAGCACGTACCCAAGTACCGTCGAGCCAGGCATCCACCATCCAACCTCGATTGTCATTCGCATCTGGATCTGGCAATTTTCGTGCAGTCAACACCACCTATACACAGCTCAACCACCCAGCAAGACCAGCCGCGGCGACCTACCACAAAGCAGCACCTCGACACGCACGGCGCGGACGACGTGTCTGCGGGCTGTTGGTGGCCCACTTTTGGCGCATCGCGCAAGTCATCCGTCGAAACCCAGAATCGACTCTGACTCTCGGCTCTGGACAAGGCTCCAACGCTGCAGGTTGACAAGGTGCGCACAGCGTCCTCGGCCTCGGCCACTGTTTGCCCTCGTCGGTTCGTTCGTTGTTGTCGTTGCATGCAAGACGCCAACCCATGCCTGGCGTTTTACTTTCACTTTCGCTTTCCCGGTGCGACCTTGTCAAGCCCCAGACTGGCGCATCCACCCAGCCCACCCAGCTTTCTTGGGCTCTGCCCAATCAGCCCTGGCCCTGGCGAGCTGCCCGCTGCTTTGCCAGTCCAGGCATTCCACAAAGTACTTTGACCATCCTGTCCGCTGTTAATAAGCCTGTCAACTGTGCTCTCTCTCCTCCACCCCCACCACAAGAACGAGGCTGCCACACGTCATTTATCCTCGCCCTGTCCGACCTCACGTCCAGTTCAGATTTCAC